GCCTGTATGAACTGGGCCAGCATTAGTAATATCTCATAATTACCAATATATCATTACATAATAAAATGTCTCATATAAATTAATTAAATCAGTCAAAGTACTGATTCTCATATCAATGCACCATAAACAATAGTGCAAATATTAATCTAGCTTAGTGCACATAATCAAAACAACTATCTAATGTATGCAAACTTTAGCAGGAGGAGCACAGCAAAAACATACTCATAATAATAGGCCTCGGCGCCCACACAGAAAAATATAAGAAAGAGCCAACAGAGCAGCGCAGGCTAGCGCTAGTTTGACTCACCAGTTCCTCTTTAAAACACGGCACACGGTGTGACAACTGCGTCGATTCAATTGTATGAGGCGCCTGTAGTGAAAGCATATTAATTACGGTTTGTAGAACAAAATATGACGTTAGGTCGCGATAAATACCTGCAGCTCTCTCATTTCCAGCTCCCCTACGACAACACACCCACCGGTGAATGCAGTGCGCTTGTTTAGGGAAGTGTTGCTGCGCGAACTGCGGGGAACTCACGTTCAAACTCTCTCGCGAGCGCTACAACTACCGCGAGGCTTTGTTTCTTCAGAGACGGCATAGATAGAAAGAGAGATGCGGAGAAAGGTAAAAATGGCCCGGGTTACGCAAGTCTTTACAAGTCAATTGGCGCAAGTCCAAGTGAAAGTCAGAGTCATTGATGTTAAAGTCCAAGTCGAGTTGCAAGTCTTTTTATATTTGGTCAAGTCGAGTCTAAAGTCATCAAAATCATGACTCGAGTCTGACTCGAGTCCAAGTCACATGACTCGAGTCCACACCTCTGCATTTCACCACAGAGATGAGCAGGGAACTCTTTCAATGGAGGTGACATCACTTCTGTCGAGAGGCTAAAGTTACAGACCTGAGCTTTAAACATGTGTTATTTAGACTAAAGTTACAGACCTGAGCTTTAAACATGTGTTATTTAGACTAAAGTTACAGACCTGAGCTTTAAACATGTATTATTTAGACTAAAGTTACAGACCTGAGCTTTAAACATGTGTTATTCAGACTAAAGTTACAGACCTGAGCTTTAAACGTGTGTTTTCAGACTAAAGTTACAGACCTGAGCTTTAAACATGTGTTATTTAGACTAAAGTTACAGACCTGAGCTTTAAACATGTGTTATTCAGACTAAAGTTACAGACCTCAGCTTTAAACATGTGTTATTCAGACTAAAGTTACAAACCTAAGCTTTAAACATGTGTTATTCAGACTAAAGTTACAGACTTGAGCTTTAAACATGTGTTATTTAGACTAAAGTTACAGACTTGAGCTTTAAACATGTGTTATTTAGACTAAAGTTACAGACTTGAGCTTTAAACATGTGTTATTCAGACTAAAGTTACAGACCTGAGCTTTAAACATGAGTTATTCCGACTAAAGTTACAGACCTGAGCTTTAAACATGTGTTATTTAGACTAAAGTTACAGACCTGAGCTTTAAACATGTGTTATTTAGACTAAAGTTACAGACCTGAGCTTTAAACATGTGTTATTCAGACTAAAGTTACAGACCTGAGCTTTAAACATGTGTTATTTAGACTAAAGTTACAGACCTGAGCTTTAAACATGAGTTATTCCGACTAAAGTTACAGACCTGAGCTTTAAACATGTGTTATTCAGACTAAAGTTACAGACCTGAGCTTTAAACATGTGTTATTCAGACTAAAGTTACAGACCTGAGCTTTAAACATGTGTTATTTAGACTAAAGTTACAGACCTGAGCTTTAAACATGTGTTATTCAGACTAAAGTTACAGACCTGAGCTTTAAACATGTGTTATTTAGACTAAAGTTACAGACCTGAGCTTTAAACATGTGTTATTCAGACTAAAGTTACAAACCTGAGCTTTAAACATGTGTTATTCAGACTAAAGTTACAGACCTGAGCTTTAAACATGTGTTATTCAGACTAAAGTTACAGACCTGAGCTTTAAACATGTGTTATTCAGACTAAAGTTACAGACCTGAGCTTTAAACATGTGTTATTCAGACTAAAGTTACAGACCTGAGCTTTAAACATGTGTTATTTAGACTAAAGTTACAGACCTGAGCTTTAAACATGTGTTATTCAGACTAAAGTTACAGACCTGAGCTTTAAACATGTGTTATTTAGACTAAACAGTGTTTCCCACAGGTTTGAAGGCAATGTGTGGTGGTCGTCGGCGGGGGGGGGAGTGGGGTACAGTGGTACAGTGGTAGAGGACAATCTTGAGGTCATGAATCCAGTGAAATTAGTCGCACACCTTTTTACAGTAATAAGTTACAGCAGATCAAAAGTGACATGTTTTGACCATTTTTAGGCTATTTTGGACCAAAATGGCTACTTTACCTCAATATTTCTCAATATTTCTACAGTAAAAGTGTCTGGTCTTTGGTACAGTGGTAGAGGACAATCTTGAGGTCATGAATCCAGTGAAATTAGTCGCACACCTTTTTACAGTAAAAAGTTACAGTAGATCAAAAGTGACATGTTTTGACTATTTTGGAGGTATTTTGGACCAAAATGGCTACTTTACCTCAATATTTCTCAATATTTCTACAGTAAAAGTTTCTGGTCTTTGGTACAGTGGCAGAGGGCAATAATAAGGTCATGAGTCAAGTGAAATTAGTCGCACACCTTATTCCAGTAAATAGTTACAATACTTGAAAATTGCACTAGCGGACCAAATTGTGTACTTTATATATGTAAACAATAGAGTGGCTATCCTCCTGAGGACTCACAATCTGCCGGAGGAATCGTAGGGGGCTGGTGCTATGTGTGCCGGGTGGCATCTCTATAAGGTTTTAATCACAAAAACGTGTCTCCCTGACCCCAGCGCGCTTTCTGTTCGATAAAAATGGGTGACTCCGAAAGGACGTTCCGCTGTTACCGTAAGTTCTCAACAAAACGCGCACCGTCTTTTCCCCGATGCGGGCCGCATGTTCATAGAGCTGAAAGATGCGGGCCACTTTACCGCGGTAAATTAATAGACACAGCTGCTTACAGCGATGATCGCTGATGGAGACGGAGACACGCGGTGTGCACGAAGGGGAGGGGCTGTGTGTGTGTAGGTCTCTGTATGTGGGAGAGACGCGTAGCTTGAGTGAGAGTTACGAAGGGCCGCCACATTTTAAACCCCCCTCCCCGCTGTCAAATTGACCGCTGCGGCGGCACTAGACGATGCATGTTTTAAATAGCGTAACAAAAAAATATATATATATAATAATACGAAACGCAATTTGTGGCGGGCGGTCTCTAATCTGTGGCGGTGCGCCACAGATTAGTCTATGTGTGGGAAACACTGCTAAAGTTACAGACCTGAGCTTTAAACATGTGTTATTCAGACTAAAGTTACAGACCTGAGCTTTAAACATGTGTTATTTAGACTAAAGTTACAGACCTCAGCTTTAAACATGTGTTATTTAGACTAAAGTTACAGACCTGAGCTTTAAACATGAGTTATTCAGACTAAAGTTACAGACCTGAGCTTTAAACATGTGTTATTTAGACTAAAGTTACAGACCTGAGCTTTAAACATGTGTTATTCAGACTAAAGTTACAGACCTGAGCTTTAAACATGTGTTATTTAGACTAAAGTTACAGACCTGAGCTTTAAACATGTGTTATTTAGACTAAAGTTACAGACCTGAGCTTTAAACATGTGTTATTTAGACTAAAGTTACAGACCTGAGCTTTAAACATGTGTTATTTAGACTAAAGTTACAGACCTGAGCTTTAAACATGAGTTATTCCGACTAAAGTTACAGACCTGAGCTTTAAACATGTGTTATTCCGACTAAAGTTACAGACCTGAGCTTTAAACATGTGTTATTTAGACTAAAGTTACAGACCTGAGCTTTAAACATGTGTTATTCAGACTAAAGTTACAGACCTGAGCTTTAAACATGTGTTATTTAGACTAAAGTTACAGACCTCAGCTTTAAAGTAGCTGTAGCAGGACTTTAACATAAGTAAAACAATATATCTTCACATTTATCTGTGAAGTCTTTCAGCGATATACAAATAAATCCTCCGCTCCCTCTTGGCTCAGAGTTGCTGACAGGACGCTCTGCGGGCTCTGGAGAGCAGCCTCAGTGACAGCCTGATCCACCCTCGCTGTGTGAAGGACAGGTTCAGCAGCTCTATCCTTCCTGCTACTGTCAGGCTGTATAACGAGTACCGCTGACCCTGTACATGTGCCCC